AATCTCTGAAGCCAAAACAATTAACTACTCAATCATTAAAAAATAATAATTATGCTAATTACCACTATATGAATACTACTACTAGACTATTATAATTTTCAATACAAATAAAATAGTCTTTTTTTTCTACAAATATATCTATCAATACAAGCAATTATTTCCACTCAAAAAATCCTACAAATTAAGTATGCTTATAGGCAAATATAAACCAATCACACAAATCATGATTTTACCAAATGAAACTGAAACCATAAATTTGACAAAAGGATATTATTAATATTATAAAAGTATGGTAGGTGGGGATATTTTTTAATTACAATTTCTAATTCTTTTTTTTTTACAACGGATCCCAAAATCACCATTACTGTGGGCGCACAAGATAAATCTCACTCTAATACTAATATATAGCACACCAATAACAAAGTAGACACCACTAGTACTATTTTTCCATTGAAAAATGTTCAATAACTATATTCGTAGATATTTTGATTGAATCAGTGAGAAAAGAAAAAAAATAGTATTATTGTCATACGACAAAATTAAGAAATTTCTCACTATTCTGAATAATAATCTTCTTTTTCATCATGCATTTTCAAGCGACAGCAGAACGTTTATAAAGGAAACGAGTGAAAAAATCATGTTTATAACACAAATTTCCCACTAATTCACGACGGAAAAAACTTTATTTATAATAGTACAAAGTAAATCACACTACCTAAACTTTCCGTGACAAACTCAATCGAGAAAACATATAAAGAATTTTAAACTTCAGACCCATCATTAGAAATATCACTTGTTCAACCAACCTCGATCGTTTAGGGTGTGGACGGCAGAACATGAATAGTGGATATTTATATGAATAAATTAATTTACAAAAAATATTACGCGGAAAAAAGGGCTTGCCTTGAATAAATCTCAGGCTCGTGATTCACGTGGTAGGGCCAATCAGCAGTTGAATAATACAAAAAAAAGTTTTATATAATTAATTATATATATTTTCTGTTTGATATTATTTTAATAAATTCAGAAAACAAAAAAATTTAAAAATTAATATTATATGTAAAATATTCTTACGAAACAAATAGTTTCTCAAAATGAATAGTATCAATCACATTAATTAAGACATAAAGATTCACTAATAATACCTGGAAGTATTATTTTTAAGAAATTAAAATATTAACAACAACAACAATAACTTCAGTGAAATTTTACAAGTAGAGTTTGTAGATGATAAAATGTACGTAGTTATTATCATTACTTCGTGAAGGTAGATGGTTGTTTCCTAAGGTCTCTCGGGTTAACCGTTTAAGTGAAGCAAATTCAAGTACAAAGAAAAAGAAAACATAGCAACTAATCAGGAAATTCAATAAACGAAACATAATACAACTGACGATAATAGCGAGAAATATCAACAAACCTAAACTCTCAACAAGAGCAAGACAACACATCACTTTTAAATATTACCAAAAGTGTTAGTGATTATTATCAATCATCTAACAGGTTAGGCAAAGTATTAATCAAGATCTTAAAAAGAGCAAACTTCATATTCTGTTGCATACCTTTCATGACATCAAATTTCACCCATATAAATTGTGGTGGGATGATTGTGTTCTCTTTATCCTAATTAAAATCCTTGAATTTTAGCCCGTAAAATTGAAAAAAACTAATTGGATGAACTACTTTATAAATTAAGTCCTACTATGCATATATAAATTTAGTTAACTTTCATACGAGTATCGAATATGGAGTTGAAGAAAAACACAAATATCAACCACCCCATGTGCCTTGCATTTTTTTGTATGGGCAACCATTGCTTCATTAATGTGGTACCTAACATCATTGTCTTTTTTCAAGGTACACGAAAATTATATATCATTGTGTGTTTATTATTTGTTCGAGAAAATCACTCTTTACTATGGTTTATTATTTATATTTTCATATAATTTGAATTAAAGATTTTTTTTATAAAAGATACAGGATCTAATTAATTCTACCCATATACCTTTTTTATAATTACACAACATTAGTGTGGTGAATTATTACATAGTAACAAATTTACCAATTCACACCAAAAAAGATAAAGGCAACAAACCTTTTTGAGGAGATTCCAAAAAAATGATGACATAAAAAATGAAATTCAAAATATAAACCTAGAATATTCTGAATAATCAGGTAAATTCTTAATTGTACATGTAGTCAAAGTTATTTCGTTTTTCTACTGATTTACTAGAATTATTAATTTTATCGTAATTTTGTGTCAACTTCTCATGAAAATTGCTTAATTAACTTTTAATGAAGAACTTCACAAGACAACTTTCTATAGACCTTATGCATATATAATGGTATAAATAATTAATACACTAATTATGCACAAAATGTGATATCTTAAATTTGATTTGTTTTAGATAATTATACTTCGCGATAAAATAAAAATATTAAAAGCAAGTTCGAATCCTAATGGCTAATCATATAGGCAATCACAATTATTGTTTTTTTTTTCCTAATTATTTGCTGTAGTATTAATTTTATCATAATTTTGTGTTATATCTCGTGAAAATCACTCAATTAACTTTTAGTGCAAAATTTCATGAGAAAATTCTTTATAGACCTTATGCATATGTGATGGTATGAATAGTTGATACACTAATTAAGCACAAAACATGATATCTTAAATTTATCCGTTTTAGATAATAATATTTTATGATAAAAACAAAAATATTAAAGGCAAGTTCGAATTCTAATCGTATATTTTATGATTAAAAAAAAACAAAAACATCAAAGGCAACTTAGAATCCTAATTGTTCAGGTAATCAAAATTATTTCTTTTTCCAAATTTCAAATTCTTATCCATATATTTTTTTTATCTTCTAGCTAGCCACCATTATATATGTGAGCAATAATTCATGAATCAATAAATAATTTGAGTAATGCTTTATGCTTGTCTCCCTTTTATAATTTATGAGTTATGTCTGATTTTCAGGTATATCTATAGCTATATAAACTTGTTATTCTTTTGTGAGATTGGTTTTGGTTTTTTTTTAGTTATAATTAATTCTTTAAAAAGATTAACATGAATATAGTACTATTATGAACAATATTGAATAATATCTATATAATTTTATTGTCATCTTGCTTATTTAATTGGTGTAACATAATTTTATGTAGAATTAATTAGGATAGTATTTATCATCATAACATCTTGATTGTCCAACAGTAAATTTGCTAGCTTACATTAATGTTCTTTTAGAATATTTTTTACGATTTTTGTTGAATTTTAATTATTTTTTTGTATATATGAAGATCGTATATAATTAATTACCTATTTATATCTATCCTTTAACACAATTTAGATTTTCAAGAGTTATATGTTTCCATCGAAACTAAAATTAAGTAGTAAGTTGTAAAATTGAAATGATTTAAAGATTTTCAAGAGTTACATGTTTCTATGTAAACTAAAATTTAGTTTAATAAATTGTAAAATTGAAAACAATTTAAAGATTTTCAAGAGTGGTATGTTTCCATCGAAACTAAAATTTAGTTTAATACTCCTATATTGTAATTTGTAAAATTGAAATGATGAAAATGATTTAAGATACAAAACAACTTTCAACAACTACAATAATTTAAAATATATCTATATATAGCTAACGTATTTACAAAATTCTCGAAAATCATACAAACATAATTATTTCTTGTTGATACCAAGCTTATAGAGAGGTTGATTAATTTAAAAATGGTTTTTTTGAAATTATTTTTTGGATACTTCTTCAAAAAGTTAATCAATCAAATAATTAGCAGCTTAAAAGCATCGAATTTATCTGAATCTCATATTTTTTAGCTAAAATATATCTTTATATGTAAAATTATAATAAATAGTGGATTTGGATTCATAGTCTTAAAATTATATTTGGTTCAATATCAAAATGTTAAATTGATTAAAGTCGCAATAAAATTTATCTTAAATTTAATTTTAGTGTTAGCTAATTTCAAAATTATTTATCTAAATATTTATACTAAAATGATAAAATTACTCTCCCATATAGAGATACCACAACCGATGACGTATCTTTCTTTATTTCATTTTGTGTATCTAATCATATATAAAGTTTAAATTTTAAATCCACGTCAACGAAAAAAAAAAAAACATACACACATGATATATTAACACCAAAAATGTACTAAAACAAAAAGTGGGTTGTGGGGTTTTCTGTCTCCGCGTTTCGTTTGTGTTCACAAATTTGCAAATTGCCAAAATAATTGTTAATATTAAGAAAGAATATTTATTAACTTGGTCAATATTAATTATATTTTATAATTTTAAATTTAATTATTTTTTTCAATAAGTTTGGAAAATAACTACTTAATGATTAAAAATTTCAAAATAAAATAAATATTTTTTTTGCTTAATTTTTGGTGGCAATCAATGAAGTTGATTTACTCTCCAAACAAAGGGAGAAAAAACGGAGTAATTAGTGGATAAACAGGGTGGTCCACAAAGGTGGCCCCACTTTAATATTTTTCATTTATATATCATTTTTCTCTTTATTTTAATTTTGTTTGTCTAAGTTATTATTTATCATAATTTTATTAAATAATTTTTAAAATTTTTATGTTCTTCAATTTCTAATTTTCTACAATTCATTTCACATTATTTCAATATTGTTACTACTTTCATTTCTACTTGATTTAAGCAGGAGATCCGTTGAAAATAGTCTTTTTATCTCTTCGAAATAGAACTATCGTAACTTAGTAGGATAATAACAATAAAAATATTCAATATGATTCCATAAATAAAAATAAAGAAGACAAAGCATATTTTAATAAGTATAGAGACGATTTTCGATAAATAATATTCTCTATATTTTATACTCTCTAAATGAGTAATTTAATTAAGATGAAGCCAAACAAAATTTGGAAAGTGAGAGATTATGTATCTTTCCTTATATATTAACCACCAAACATAGAAGAGGAAACACAAAAGCTGCTGATCTTCATCTTCCTCATTCATACTAACACCAAAAAAAAAATTCTCAGTTGAATTCTTCCAGTTTTGCTTGAAACTTCAAACTATTATACCCATTATTACTGTTTTTTTTTCTTCATTTTTGGGTATGGTGTTGGTACAACAGGAAGACGAAATAAGGGTGGGTGGAGGGAAGAAGGGAATGAGATTAGGGAAATATGAAGTAGGGAAGACACTTGGTGAAGGAAATTTTGGTAAAGTGAAGTATGCTAGACATGTAGAGACTGGTCAATCTTTCGCCATTAAAATTTTGGAGAAGAGTCGGATCCTTGACCTCAGGTCTACTGATCAGGTTTGTTTTTTTTTTTTTTTTTTGTTATCTCTGTTTCTGTTGTGTTCATGGATGAATTTTGTTCTATTTGGGTTCTCAGAAATGGAAAAATAATTTTGAATCTCTTCTTCCCCATTTTCTGTTGTTTTTGTGTACTTTTTTTTTTTTCTGAAAAAAAAGTGGATCAGTTTTTCTCTCTACTGTAACTTCATTTCCATGGAGAAAGTTGATTTTCATTACCAATTTCCTCTTGAAGGTCTTTTCATTTGGTGTTTTCGTTGTAAAAATCTTCTTCCTAATTTCTCCGACCAAATCCCGTTTCCGGCGAGTTGGACGGAACTACTATTATAACAACATACCTGGTGTAATTTCGAGGTTTGGAAAAGACGGTGTGTATGTAGATTTGTCCTTACTTGAGAAGATAGAGACGTTGTTTCCGATAAATCTTAGCTCAAGTAAAATGGGTAGGACGGAACTTCTTCTTTTTTTGTGTAACTGTGGTATTCTTAGGATCTATCGGAAATAGCGAGATAAGATTTGCGTATATTTTAAAACTTTACTTTCGAAATTACATTAATATGTTATTATTGCTCATTGAAGGTCGAACAAATAAGAAGAAATCACCTAGTAATTTTATTGTCACTCTACTGAATTTTAATGTTGAGCCACACATGATTTTTGGATTTCTAAATCATGTATTTTTAACCGTCTAAATTTCACAAATATTATTTTCTAAACTCATAAAAAATTATAGATATGGCCAAAAAGTCTTAAAAGTTTGAATCTTCTACTTTATAATCATAGTTGCTTGGTGGTTAGCGCTTTTTGGTGAGAAATCGCATCTTCCACTATATTTCCGACTAAATCCTGCAGCTAAAAGTTAAAGGATTAGCTAAATTTGGTGGTTCAAAATTCCCTTATTGGATAATGAATCAGTCCAACTTGACGACAACTATTAAACTGTATAATTGTAAATTGTTTGATTGCACATTTTTTCCGACTGTATTAGAAACTACCTCTCTATCAGACCCTACTCGTGGAACTAGACAGAGTATGTTGTTGTTGTTAATCTTTTAATTGAACATTTGCTACTTTTGTGGAAAGTGTTTGTGTTGAAGCTCTTAGTAGATAAAGAACTATACTTTTAAAGTTGAAAATTGAAATAACTCAAATAAGCTTATGCAGTTCTTGTGTAATTTCAGATTAAGAGGGAGATTGGAACTTTAAAACTCCTCAAACATCCTAACGTCGTCCGATTATACGAGGTATATACTATCCTTTTCCTTTTGCCTTCTTTCAAATATATTATCTTTTGAACAGAAAAAAAACTCCTAATATACCCAAGTTGAGGTATTGAAATGTTTTCCGGATACAAGTTGTGTTTGTAGTGGTGATAAAGTAGCTCCACCTAAAGATTCAGTATATGAAGTGGATTATATTATATAATTCGTTTTATTCTTCGAAAGCGATGAGTAAAAAACATCCTGGAATCTGATTCCGTTTGTGTATAGACAATTAGCCAATTCATTTTTGCTTGAAGTAAAGAACAACAAATGCTCACTCTTTCACGGCTAAAGATTCTTTTTTTTTTCTTCCAATTTTCTTGTCTTTATTATTCAACTAGGCATAAATACTTTGCACAGAAAAGTCTACTGAATTTTAGGAATACTTTTCAATGTATGAACTTAAGGGGATTGAGATAGTTCATCTAGTGGTTGTTGAAAAATAATAATTGGTGAGCCATCTTGACCCCCCCTCATAATTAGATCTTTTTCCCAACTTTACAAGTTAACAAATGCTAATGCTGGATAACCATAAGTGTTATATCATTGATTTTTGTGGTTATATATTGTATATGGGAAGGGGTCTATTTTGTCTGGGACCATGGAGGAGGAAAGATGGATTTATCCAAAGACCTTAAAACTTAGGTGGACAACTTTGTTTTGTTTTTTTTCTTGGACTTATTGGTGTAGCATTAGGAATAGTCTTTTGCTGGAATATTATATTATTCTGCCCTGGTAGACCAAGATTTAATTGGTCTTAGTTCAAATCAGGGATTAACAACTTTGATCCTACTGACGTATTAGCTACTCAATCTAAGTAAATTACGTTCCCGTCTCAAAAAAAAGTTGTTTGTTTTCTTCCTTAAGGAGTTTGTCATGTAACGTCCACGATGACTTCTGTTGCTTGTCAAATGCCTGCTTCATGGTGGCAACTGGCAAGTGAATAATAGTAATAATAATAGTATATTTATCAAACATTTAGATATCCATACAGGGTTTCCTCATGTTAGTAGTATTTTGTTATGATGCATTTCTAACAAGACGGTACAATTAAGCAGGTCTTAGCGAGCAAAAGCAAGATTTACATGGTGCTAGAATACGTGAATGGGGGTGAATTATTCGACAGAATCGTAAGTTACTTTGACTATATATTCTGTTTGTGAATAATAGTGTTTCAAATCTTGAATTTTAGCCTTGACTATAATCCTTATCCATAGGTTTCCAAAGGAAAACTCTCAGAGGCCCAAGGTAGGAAGCTCTTCCAACAATTGGTTGATGGCGTTAGTTACTGTCACGACAAAGGTGTCTTCCACAGAGACCTCAAGGTAACTAATTATATAGTGTGTAGCATAAATATTATAAGCTGTTACTCAGTCATGTAACATGTGTGGTGTTGAAAATGCAGCTAGAAAACGTCCTCATTGATTTGAGGGGAAACATAAAAATAACGGACTTTGGGCTCAGTGCGTTACCCCAACACTTTAGGGTACGGAATACTAGCTTCTCTTTGTTGCATATGTGAATTAGTTTCCTCAATCTTATTGAGCTTTTTTGTCTTAACTATAGGATGATGGATTGTTGCATACCACTTGTGGTAGTCCAAACTATGTCGCTCCAGAAATTCTTTCTAACAGAGGATATGATGGCGCGGCATCTGATACCTGGTCATGTGGTGTTATCTTATATGTCATTCTCACTGGTTATTTACCCTTTGATGATAGAAATCTTGCCGTACTTTATCAAAAGGTAAGACAATTTCTTCTTTTGTTCTACGCGTGTGAGCTCATTTTATATGACATTTTGTGGCTAATACTTTTAATATTATCTTTGATGGATATAAATCAGATACTTAAGGGGGAAGTTCATATACCAAAATGGCTATCTGCAGGAGCAAAGAACCTCATAAAGAGGATTCTTGATCCCAACCCGCATACTCGTATAACAATGGCACAAATCAAAGAAGATGCATGGTTCAAACAAGACTATACACCTGTAAATACTGATGAAGAAGATTTGGAAAGTGATGATCATGCTTCTACAGATGATCACGTCTTCACCGTGCATGAAACAGTATGGACGTTGGACCCTTGAGTAATTGGTTCATTTCAAGCATTTTAATCCTTTCATCCTTAATGACTGATTGTTTGCTATATCCCTGTCACAGCCACTTGATGCTCAAAGAGATCCCGAATCGCCTTGCCTTATCAATGCCTTTGAGCTTATAGGAATGTCGTCATGTCTGGATCTTTCTGGATTTTTTGAGAAAGAGGTAACCTTTAATTCTAATTTGTACCGTATTATGCAAGGAACATATCATAAAACATAGACTTATTTCTTCTTGAATTATTCTAGGATGTTTCCGAGAGGAAGATCAGATTCACATCCAGTCTCTCTCCAAAACAGTTGTTGGAGAGGATCGAGAATATGGTGACACAGATGGGATTTCATGTCCAGAAAAGACACGGAAGGGTTAGTATAATTGTTGGCGCATCAATCTGTATATGCATAGTCACACAAGAAAAATTAAATCTTAAATAAAGTTCCATGTTATATCTTTGTACATTGCAGTTGAAAGTGATGCAAGAGCAGAAAGGCCACAAAAGCCCAACTAGTCTGTTGGTAGTCGCAGAGGTAAGCAATGTTCGCGGTATTTGACTCCCTTATTTTCCATAACAAGAAAGAAAAACAAAAGTAATTTTTCCTATGCATCATTTTCAGGTCTTCGAGATTAGCCCATCCTTGTATGTTGTAGAATTACAAAAGTCTTCAGGGGATTCAACAGTATATAGACAGGTATAGCTCAACATCCTCGTCTACCTTGTTACAAGTTACAACCTACAACCCTTCCAAACATGTTAAACTAACTAAATCACTTTTATCCCACAGTTGTGTAATAGGTTATCGAATGATTTGGGAGTCCACCGAAGTGAGGAGCTCCTACCTACTGTTTGTTGTGATAGCTAGACCATTTGCAGCGGTGACTGGATACATTCTTTCGTTCTTTTTGTTCCATTTCTCCTGCTCTTGTTGAGTAGTAGGAGGAGTTGTGAGCAGTAAGCACACCCTTCAAGTTGGTTGGTTGATTCATCAGTTTCACGAGCAATAACGTGAGGTTTAAGTGTATAGTAAAGAACATGGCGGAATTCGCCTTATAAGTTAGTACATTCAAGTAAATCTGTATCTTGTAGTATCTATTATTTAGTCTCTAGGCAAATGTCTTCTTTGGAACATGGCTATAGTGGCCTTGTTGATAAGTAAATTCAGCAAAATTTGTATTCTGTAGTATCAATTATTTGGAGCTTGGTCTTTACAAGGACTTTGAAAGTCTCCAAGCAAAGATGTCCTTTTTTGAAAAAAAGAAATAATGCTTCATGCAGCTTTATGTAATTAAGAGAAAGTTGCTTTGCACATGGCCTCTTCTTTTTTTGCAATTATTGTGTAAATGATTGTGCACATAATACAACAACATAGCAAGATTTGGGAAAGATAGGATGTACACAGTTTACGTCTATCTTTGTAGGGGTAGAGAGACAGTAAATAATACTTGTTTTAAAGAAAACGATTGGGTTGCTTGGAATTGAAGCGTAATTGATATTGTATTGTGTCATTTTTATACAAAGAGGAATTAAAAGTGGCTACCTTACTATATTTGAAATTTGATGCATTTTTCATCTATAAATCTTACTTGTTGACAATATTATAATGTACAACCAAGACTGGGAGGATCATGTGCACCAATAATTTAGCAGAGAAAGTTGACAAATCCAACTTTATAACAATGTCTTTAAATACATTTTGCACAATCCATGAATTAGACTTCGTAGAATCATCACCAACTCTCCTTCATGTCTAACAAGATTTGATTCTATGAACAATAATCAGTAACTAGCAATGATTGACTTCTTAACAGATTGTATGAGAGAGTAAAGGTATAATATGCCCAAAGTGTAGTCATTAAAATGTCTGAAGTTTGGGCTTGTCAAGATTGTAACTCTAATAATAAAAAAATATCTAAAAATGGCCTTGATAGCTTAACCATTATATGTCTGAAGTTTGGTCTTGTCAAGGTCATAACTTAAGTAACAAATGCCTTAAATTAATTTTTGGCAAGGTCTGTCAGACTTAAAGCAAAAATGTCTGAATTTTGGTTGTGAGAATGCCAAACATGAGGCACAAAATATCTTAAGTTTGCCAACCTTTATACATGAATTTTCGCATTTTTACTTATGTATATCTATAGCGATTCCAAAAGAAATATATTTAAAAAAAGAATAATTCATTCTCTGGATTTTAAAAGGCTTGAAAACTTATATATAAGCTTTGTAAGAGACGAATTGTCAAAGTTTGTATAATATTGTATAACAATGTAAATGTATTTATAAACACATTTTTTACGTAAGATTGATATGTTGTGTACCGTAAATGTATAATATTATATAGCTTTCATATTTCATATTACAAAAACAGTTAATCAGTATAAACTAATAATATAATTACGTAAATATAATGTTTTGTATTGAATTGTAATAAGTCAATAATTAAATTTGATTCAGATAGAAATTTCAAATTCAATTACTTAAGGTAAATTGTTATGTTTTGTTGAGTTTGTCATTTTGTTTTTGCGTTGCTACTCCAAATCCGATTCTTTGTTCCATCACTGGTGCCGACGAGCCATCTTTCTAGTAAGATTATCCTTTCTTTTCGTCTCTTTTTTTTTTGCTTTCTCATGTTGCGTAATAAAATCGCATATGTCGTTCGTGTGGTAAGGTTAAAGCATCTAAAACACCATCAATCTTATCCAGAAATTAAATTCATAGTAGTTTTTCACTGAATCAGTAGTTTATACCTAAAGTTTGGTGTTTAATTTAGTTATTGAAATAGATAATATATTATAACAGTAATAGAATATGGGAGATAGAAACGGGATAGCTCAATAAAATGGGTGACCTAAAGCCAAAATTTAGAAAATAGTATCATATTTATTCAAAAAAAATTATATATAAATTCTAAAAATTGCAATTAATTATAATTTAATAATTATTTTTCCTTTTAACATTTTTTGTAATATTTGATAAGACAAGAATAAATATATATAAATTATTGTACACGTTACATAACAACACAAATATTTAAATCTCTATTATTGATTATAATTTAGAAAACCTTTTCAATAGAGCCCATTGTTATATAAACTATCAAAATTATTCTAAAAGGTCTTAAAAAATAAAATTAAGACTTCCCTTCATTGAATATGTCAATTAGAGTATCATTTTTTTTACTTATATAATATTTTGTAATAATTTTAATTACAGAAACCAATATTATAATGATGGTTACTTTTAGAAGACATTCAAACTTAAGACAATATTTATTTAAATTTAATTACTTGATAATCTAATTTGTTTGAGCTTGAAATGTTAAACAAAACATCTTAAAAAATTGAAGACAATCTTACAAAGTCAATATTAAAACATGGTTGATCCAAATTGAAGTGAAATAGGCGAATTAAGAAATAGAAAATAACTATAAAATTAATTGTCTACTATTTTTAACTATAATTACATCAATAATAAATTTTCATAAATACAGTGTTCGTTTGATTGGGAACAAGTTATCCCAGGATTAATAATCTTGAAATTAGTTATCTTGGGATAACTTATCCCACCATGTATATGAGATAACTTATCGTATCACTATGATATAAATGGTGTGATAAGTTATCTCAAACATGACAACCAAACCAGAAATGACTATTTTTTTATTCCAAGACTATATGTTTTATTCCTCACACCAAACGAAACATTTGTCTTATATTAGATTGTCATCCATCTTACTAAAACATTTGTTACATATTACTATTTACTAGATCACCAGGATGGAATTAATTTAAAAAAAAATTCTATTTTACCCCTACAATTAAAATAACCTTTGAAATTCAATTTTTTTCCAAGAGGCAACTTAATATGAACAAAGGACAAAATAGTAAAATTGATAGAGGGAGTATTAAGAAAAATTTAATTATTAATAGTAACAATAATACATATTTTTAAAAAAATTCTAGTTAGGGTTTTTTTTTTTTTTTTTTGGTTCTTTTAAGTGTGCTATTGGTTAATATGTGCGTCTCTTTTACATCGCCTCCATCAGGTCTGGTTTTCTCTTTTAGGTATGTATCTTCTTCATCTTTTTGTCTGCTTAGTGATCTGGTTCTTCGTTTAGTCTTGCTCGAATTTTTCTTTTCTTTTTTTCTGTATCTTCGGTATGTTTTCGTGTATTTTAGCTTCTTTTTTCGAACTGAATTTGGTTTTTTTTTTTGCTTCTTTGGAGGATTTGTAATTTTGAGGCTCTTATTTTTTGGGGCTTTAGGGTTGAGCCGCCCTTGGATAGAAATATGTAGCAAATAAGGAGCTTGTAAACTCTACTTGTGCGTATTTTTTCTCACTGGATAGCTATAATTTCACAGTTTTTTTTTTTTTTTTTTTGCATATAGACTGAAGTTAGTTAGTATTGTTTTTAGTTATCATGTACTGTGTATGAATATGGATGACATGACGAGGTTACGGAGGTTGCAGATTAGGGTAGAAGTGTAGTAGGTATTCGAGCATCGCCTTATTTCACTTCTCTGTATTGTTATTATTACTTTCCATTGTGTCCTTTGCTCCGATTATCGTATTATTTGTTGTTGCCATTGCTCCATTCCCCATTATTTCATACATGACTTGGTATGTTTTACTTGTGCCGATGGTTTATTGGATACAACCTCTCTACTTTCATAAGGTAGGGGTAAGACTGCATACACTCTATCTCCTCGGACCTCACTTATGGGATTACACTGGGTATCTTGTTGTTGTACTGTGTATGAATTATTTTAGGCTGAATGTTGCTTATTTATTAAACTATTACTCGTTAGGTTGAAACTTGTGGGTCTGTAGCAATTCAATATGCCTGAAAACAAGCCTGTAATTGGGCTTTCATGGGAACCAAAGTTACCTCAATTATCATTTGGGACCAAAAAGAGCTCCAATGAGGTGCCCGGGGCCAGTGCAGTATACAAACCTAGTTCAGAGCTCATGGACGGCCTATTTGTTCCGCCCAATGATCCCAAAAAGGTGAACAAGCTTCTACGAAAACAAATCAAGGATACAACTGGCAAAAATTGGTAATCTCAATTGTAGTTTTTCAAATTCCTGTGTTTTTAATGTAAATTTGTTCCTTTTATGAAAATTATTTACTGTTTCTGAAATTTAAATAGGTTTGATATGCCTGCCCCAACGATTACTCCAGAGCTGAAAAGGGATCTCCAGTTGTTAAAGGTGATTCTTTGAATGACAGTCTCTCTCTTTACTTGAACATTTTTACTGCTTGATGATAGGCTGATGTGTTTCGTTACTTATGAGGGTTGCGACTTAGCTAAGCTTTTCTTTCACATTGTTGTTAAAGGATACAGAGGGGGCCATCTTTTGTTACTACTCCACTGCTAATAGTAAATCCCTTGTCTGGGACTCGATCTTGATACTAGTCCATAACAATCACAGTCTAATTTTCTAAAATTCTTGGCTCGTCTACCTTAGGAGCCATAGCTTTGTAAGATGTTGAAAATCAATGAAGGCCTTTCTTAGAGGAAGAGCAATGAGAGAGAGAAACGTAAGAGATAGAACATTTCACACTGCTGCTGATAAATGATCTATTCATCTGAAGATTGTGTCCATGATCAGTAAGATAGGTAGAGTTGAAATATGTATAAACTTGCTACACATATTTCTGAAAAATGCAACTCTTCTCATCCTCCACTCTCTAGATTCGTGTTTCCTGGAGTAACTTGCTTATGGTCTTAAAGGAGGGTACAAGGCCTCAATGGTTTCCCTGTTACAAATTCTAGACAAGCTTAGAGTAAAGTGACATATTAATTGAAATTTCTCATTCATTTGTTATTGTTCGATCTCACTAGTTATAAACAAAAAAAATTAAATTCCATCCAGTGTATACAAATAATATATTCTTCAGCACAGTTTGACATCCCTAGTGAAGATGGACTTGTGAAGATGCAATCATGTCTAATCATCACCTTTTCCTATGATATATTGTTGAGTTTCCTTTATGTATGCCTAATTTAATTGCAGTCATTTCTCTTACGAATGAGTACTCAGTTCTAAAAATCTGATTGTTTCAGTTAAGGGGTGCCATGGATCCAAAAAGGCATTACAAGAAGAGTGGATCAAAATCAAAAACATTACCTAAATATTTCCAGGTAAGTGTATTATTTCCTAAATTATTGATGTAGTGACTGTTTCTTTTTTAGTATGATTTGTCATGTTTTCTATAGCATTTTGTCTTGGCTTCTTCACTCCTGTTGTTTTCTTTTTTTGAACGGCTTTGTAATGCTTTTGCTTGAGCCGAGGGTCTATTGGAAACAGCCTCTCTACCTCCCAAGGTAGATGTAAGGTTTGCATACACACTACCCTCACCAGACCCCACTTGTGGAGCGACAAATTCGCCTTCTTATGCCTGATAATAACCACTAGCAGGCAGATGCATCATTACCCTGATGATATAACAAAATAAAAGCTTCCCCTATCTCACATGATAAAGCAAAGGACAGAAAGATATAGAATAGAAAGAAGATAGAATTGAACAACCGTGCAGGCATCTTTTGTGCTGTTGTTGTCATGCACTCTCTTTTATTGACGTCTTGTTATCCTGTTGGTTAGAGGTAAGATGTTAACGTTTTTGAAATTCAAGCAGGTCGGCACAGTAATAGAGCCAGCATCTGAATACTACTCTGGTAGACTGACTAAGAAGGAGAGAAAGACAACACTTACTGAGGAGCTACTTTCTGACCGTAAACTTGGGGAGTACAGGTACGTCACAAACATGAATAGAAGTAAAAGAACTATGCAACTACTTTTAACCGGTCTGTTAAGGATCATTCTAAACCTCATATGCTACACAGGAAACGCAAAGTTCGCGAGATTGAAGAACGCAATCGGCCAGGTGGAGTTGACAAATGGAAGAATAGAGGTCCACAGTCAAGGAAGCGTGCAAAGCAAAGAAGGCATTGAAGCTATAGTGTTCATGAAGCGTTTCTTACCAGTTTTCTGTCTGACCAGTCGAAGAGCATTGAAATCTTCTATGAGAGGTGTACCTGCCATTCTGGGAAAACTATTGGGATGTGCCATAAACAAAGCAGGTTTCACAGAACATCTACAAATCCTTGATGCTAATTACACCGGCATACTTCTAATACGTGTTTCTAGCACTCCAACAAAAATAGTTGTCATCAATTTTGAACTGTGTTGCTGATGATCGTCATATATATTTGCCTTCTCATGGCGTATTCTATTCTTATTGTTCTGATATCAAAATATTAGAATGTTAGGTTGTATTGTTGTTTGTCGGTACTTATAAGTTATAAAAAAAATTGATTGGACGTTTGAATGCTAATCTGAGTATACAACCATATTTTAGTCCAGATTAAGCTTCAAATTAGGAGTAATCCCACATGCATTATTATTAGAGGACATTTTTTTCCATTTCTCTTCTGCTTCTTGTTAGGGGAATATACTACTCTGCATAATTTGTTAAGGAAATCAGTTGTAAGCAAGTTCAGAAGATTTACAAAGATACAAGGACTTGAGATGTATTAATGTTGTGATCATTGAATTACAGCCATTTTCTGGGGTCACGTAAGCCTATTAAAGGGGAAGCGCTTCGTATTAAGAATTGTATTTGTACTTGATGTCAAATATGTGGTGTCTGAAGTTAGGTTTATCAAATCCCAACATGCATTTCTGCCTGAAGTTGAGGTAAAGATGATTAAACTTCATTCGTGTGTGTGCATGAGCTTTAGGCAAAATGATTGAATTTTTATGTGTCAGAAGTCCAATCATATGAACTTCACACCATATGTTTAAAGTTGTTCCGAAATGAATAGACGTACAAAAATTTATAAACTTAGGACATAACTTAGATAGTGACACCAAAATTGGACATATGTACACTTCCCAGTAATAGATGCCAACACTCTACCCAACTTGTTGATAGCATTTAGTTTTGAGAGGGTAGTTGGTGGGGGCTTCCACAATTGCCTAAACTTTGCTTGCCTGTCCACAAGCTTGAAAATGAAACAGCTAACATGACTATATTCTCATCTCATTGACTAATTGCTAGCTACTCTTCAAATGTTTGAGATATATGTACAAATTGGCCGTTCATTGCCTCCCAACATTCAATATTACAGCTGGGACAATAGAGACAACTTGAGACTGCAGGTTTGCTTCTTGAAGGAACTTGAGAGCAACGGTAAAATTATTTTAGTGCGACTTGTATGCCAAAAAATTGAAATTTAGCATTAAACACTAATGCTTGCGTCAAGATAAGCAAACTAGGCCCTCCCTGAACCATGTATGTGAATATGAGATGCTTCATACGTCAAAACTACCCATAGTTTGTATTGTTCATGGCAAGATTCAAATCCATAACATGCGCCTAATCCATAGACCATATGTATGTGTTGCATCCTTTCCACAGCACTAAAGTAGAGAGGGGCTACTAGAAGTAGGCACCTACTATTATTATTTCAATGTTTCAAGTTCAATCATAATAGATTTTACTACACTTGAGTTGACGGTCTTTTGGAAATAGTGTCTCTACCTCCACGCCTCCTAGACCCCACTTATGGAACTCTATTAGGTATGATGTTTGTAAGTTCAATCATAATAGGTCAGTAGCCACCCTCATGCCAAACACAATTGTTGACCTAATCAGCAAAAGAAAGAGCCAATGGTGGGAAAAGCCAATGTTTTCCAACTTCTAAACTCAATGTTTCAGCTTTTATCATAATGATCATCTCCACTTAACTGATATTAGGATATTCAAGACCTCAAGAATAATCCATTAAAAGAATAAGCAAAAAGCTACTTTCATTAGTACATGTATAAATTTATTCACATTCAATTGAGACCAGTAAAAGAAGGGGGAAAAGCACAGTATGTCTGCTATTTACCCAGATAACTACTAGTATAATATCATTTTCAACTCAACATAACAAATCTCAATCACTGTCATTCCATTTGGTAACGGCTGCGGCAAAGGAGAGAATCACAAGTTTGATGTTTCACTAGGTGCAGGTCGAGCATGCAACAGAGGTTGAAGAGCTTTTACCACAATGCTCATATTTGGCCGAAAATCAGCTTCGTATTGCACACACAAAGCAGCAACTGCAGCCATCTGTTTCAGTAACACAAATTTTGAGAAATTGGAGTTGATGAAAATCAAGAAGAGGCAGGATTATGGTTGCAGTAGTCAAGAATTTTCTGTTCTAGTGACATACCTTTGCAATGGCCTTAGGAGGGTAATCAGTACCGAGTCTAGCGTCAACACATTGCTTCACTTTATCTTCACTAAGTCTTGGTGTTGCCTGATTACACATGGTACGGAACGTCAATTCAGAATCAAAATAATCAACTAAAAAATCGGTGCATCAGATATAGTAATGTCAGTATCTTGAAGGTTATACCCATGTCACAAGACTCTGTTGGCCACGTGGTAATGTATGATCAACAGGTTTACGGCCTGTGAGTAGTTCAAGGAGGACAACACCAAAGCTGTAAACATCACTCTTTGAACTCAGCTGACCAGTCATTGCATATCTGCAACATGAGGGAAGTCCAATCAGCATAAAAATGAATGACCCTTGGGCCCTGAGCTAAAATTGCTTCATTTAAGTTAGTTAATCAAGTTTACAGTCTATTTATATCAAATATTCAGAACTGAACTCACTCAGGAGCATGATAACCAAAGGTTCCAAGAACACGTGTAGAGTGAAGGCGTGCTGCCATATCAGGAGCTTGATTTGATAAATCAAAATCCGCAATCTTAGCAACATCGTCATCAAAGAGTAGGACATTGCTAGACTTAATATCACGATGGATGATATGTGGCTGTGCTTTTTCATGCAAGTACTCTAGCCCTTTTGCAGCTCCAACAGCAATTTTAACCCGTTGGGCCCATGATAATACTGGACCTGGCTGTGCACCTTTCACACCTTTTCGTCCTGTAACCACAAATTGAAAAGTTATTTGCATTTTCCAGATTGAATTAGCAAGATTACGGAATATGAGAAAACTGTTTTGACTACTTATTGCAAGAATTACAAATTGATTGTAGCAGCCTCAAGCTACCCGGATTATAATTTTTTTTTATTTCTTTTGTCATAAAAAAAATAATTTATAGTCCAGGTAGCTTGAGGCTGCTACAACCAATTTGAAAAAATAGGTAGTCAAAATGGTTTTCAGCATTAGTATGAGATGACACATTAACTTGGCTGAGACAACCACCACAATCAATAGTTCTTCCAGATAAGTAAAAAAAAATGAGAATGATCAGCCATACATAAAGAAGGAAAACACAACCAAAGCTTCCAAATGAAACAGGAATATGTGTACACACACTGACACACACATATGTACAGAAATAGACACCCTCGTAGTCAGAAAATAGTTCAAATAAGGAAAACTGTAAGAGAAAACAAAGGCTTGTTATGGATTTTGCTCTGTTAAATAGAGATACAACATTCTGTCAGCAAATGACAACAATTTTCGTTTAACAGCAATTGCAAGGCAGAAGTTTTATTTTGTTTAACATAGTGGAAATGGATAGGTAAATACAACCCAAAAACATCACTTTTGGAGCTGTTTTCATGAATTAGAATTTACTTATCAGGGAGAGAGAGGAAGGATGCAATCGATTTGGCAGGATAATGATGGATTTTCAAAATACTAGGATTTTATCCTTTTCTATTACTTACTAAAGGAGCAGTGGCAATGGCTGAAATTAACATGAGAAAAAGGTGGGTTAGACTGAATTTTGAAGAAAAATAAGAGCATCTTACGCGACTGTGATCAAATTCAACTCATTACATTGGGTCAAGAATATATTGGAACAACCATCTCTCTATAAATAAAGCTTCATCAGTATGATGTAGACACCCACTTCAAGCTCCCTGCCTCTCCCTACTTCCTTGATAGATTATCCTTCCGATATCTGACAAATGAGGTGGGCCAATCCCAATGACCTTTCTGACAGCAGCCTTTCCAAGTTTGGACTATCAAAAAGGCTACAAGAGGAATGGAAGCACACTAAAAATAATAATATTCTACCTTCAGATATCCCGTAGACCCTCTATCTTAACCCAGTGCACACTTCCTGTCCAATTTTATATATCCAAAATGTTTAACACAATCTTGAACAATATTGGACAGAATTATACATCGAAACCCAATATACCAAAATCTGGATCCAAGTAGATTAGGTTAAAGCAAGCATGAGTTCAAACCCCTATTGTCATTTAGGATTAATAGCTACTCAATCTGAGGAACTTAAAACTTATTACGTAGACATTTTCCATTTTAACCAACTTATCATTTTCAGAAGTCTGTCCAGTCACTAGCAATATAATATGTAGAAAACTTTTTCACTATGTGCACAGTCAAGTACATAACCAATGGAATATATTTTTGAAAAGAGGACAAGAGAAAGAAATGTATATGCACAACGGAGAAGAAAAGGATAAAATCTGAAAGTAAGAAGGAAAGACTTAAGGGTTTGTCCAATTAGTAGCATGAAATATGAGGAAGTCTTGGTGCAGGTCTACTCTTGATTAGAGCAACTTTACATAACACTTCCACGACACATGTCAAAAAAGACCCTGGTGAGGTACTTCAAGAAAGGGGATATATCGGGGGAGGAGCTTTGACAACTTTTTGAGGGTTGAAAGTGCATAGTCAAGTACTTAAAGTGCACAGTATAGGGCAGGCGCATGACCTAGTTGGATTTGGATTGCGCAATCATTTCCAAACTCAACGTACCACGATGGATATAAATTAGAACAACCAAATCTGAATTTCATCTGAGTTTCACCGGTATATATAAATTAGAACAACCAAATCCACAAAGTCATTAATTGGTCAACATGCATAGAATGGATACACAAAGGCTTATAGTAAACTAACCATGAAGAATGTCATGGAGAGATCCATTTGGGGCATACTCATAAGCCAGCACACGAAGACCGCCGTCCACACTATAACCGAGTAACTCAACCACGTTTTCATGTTTTAGTCTTGATACCATGGAAACCTGAAACGGTTACATCATATCCAAGCAAGGTAAGAGGTTTATGTATAATATAGAATAGTCAAAGTAGGACAATCCAATCGACCTGACCTGTGCTGAAAATTCTCGATCAGGCTGCTTGCTCGAGTCTAACTTTTTAATGGCTGCAGCCCGCCCACTTTTCAGGACACCATGGTATACCCTTCCATACGATCCCTCACCTATCAAAGCTTTTGTACCAAAGTTGTCTGTGATGTCTTTTAACTCATC